GTCAAAAAATTAAAAAATAGATTTACCTAAAATAATCTCACCATTAATTTATTTTCCAAAAATATGTATTTTCAAAAAATCGTGTTAAGTGGACGTTAGTTTTTTAACTGCGGCCCAAAACTCGCACACATGCAGAAAGGTGAAATTAATTTTGATGACAGTGAGATTATTTTTTAAAAAAATGATGAAAAGATGGGATTATTTAAAATAATTTTCCAAAATAATATAGTGATATCAATAATATATTTAATTATACTACATCGAAAGATCTATAAATTATGCTTTTATCTTGAATTATTATTGAAAATTTGTTTTAAAAAATATTTTTAGAATTTAAAGTACCAAATTTCAATTAATTTTATGGAGCTTTGTTTTATAAGGTTTGTTTTATAAGGTTTAAGGAAGGTGGACGAGATGAGAGTAGTTTTTTACTTTGTTCGTAGAATTAGAGGACTCAAGCAATTACAAAGAAAATGGACATTCATCTATAGGAAATATAATGATTTTTTCTAAAAAACGATTTCTTACTACTTATGTAACCAAAGAAAATTAGATTTAGATTCTTTATAAACTATTTTTCTCACAACAAAAAAAAACTCTAAAAGTCAGAATCTAAAAGAACATTGTCTTTAATAAAAAATTTTAGAATACAATAAAATTTCGTTCCACCCGTGCATGGCACGGGTTAAAACACTTGTTTCACAAAAAAGAGAGATTTTTTAAAGACGTCCCCAGAAGAAAATTTAGAGTCCTTTTTGGGAGAGAGTATTAAGACATTCGTTTAATTGAGACCCATACAATGCTCCGTTATAAAATTGATAGTTTCTATTTCCAAACCACCACGATATATCCATTCACTCCAGCCCAATCCAAACTCATTGCTTGCCCCTTTTAATTGCACACCAAAATTGAGTTACTTTGAGGGGTCAAAAATGTGACCACAAAGGCAATTAAATTTTGGGGTGCAGTTGAAGAGGTTGGGTTAGGCTCAAATCAGGCCATGGTAGGAAGATTTACCGAGGGGTTAGATGTGGAAGACACCATTAATCTTTTGAATGGAGCATCATAGACACTACAATTTCGTTAGTGTTATATTATGATACCAAAATTGAGTGTTCGTATAATCCCTTCTTTAATTAATAGGGAGTAATCAAAATTCTTTAAATTTGTTTGGAAATAGCGTTTTCAATTAGTGTTAGCGTTTCAAATAAAGTTTTAATGGTAAATGATGGGTGTATTTCACCCACGACCGGTCAAAGGAGATGACCAATTAGTTGACCGGTCAATCTCGAAAGTTTTGAAAGGGAGACTTAAATCGTCAACAAAACGATATATAATCAGCCAAAAGATGACCGGTATATTTCACGAAAAAGTATACCGGTCAAACTACGTTGTCATCCTATTTATTCTCAGACTTCGATGAATTTATCCTTCGGAGATTACCCGGTGTAGTTTCTAGGGTTGAAAAGTGTCGGCAGAAGAGAATCTACGAGGGCTTGGCGTGTAGCGACCCATGTCAGTAGAGGACAACTAGAGATGCTGAAGAATCCATCCAAGGCACTACTCGACAAAGGGAATAATCCCCCTCACAAGGCGACAAGGCAGCTCGAGGACGAAACCAGTCACCTCGCACCACATCAGCATCGTGCCCCCACGTGGGCGCACGTGGTCTTGTCCCCCATAGCCTAGTATAAATACTCATGTAAACCTCAGAAAGAGGGATCCGAATTCACTCTCTCTGAACTCCCTTGTAAAAGCACCCGTGCATTCTCCGTTATAATATAAATTGGGCTACAGGTGTTCCACCTAAAGTCCTACCGGTCAATCTACGAGTTTTTATCTTTCTTACTTTGCCAAATCAAGCAAACTATTCTAGACCCGGTCTAGTATAGTTTGACCGGTCAAGTAATTTACACCATCAGTAAAGATTAATTTTAAAATTTTTAATGCTAAAAGCTACTGTCAGATAACATTTTCAAGATGTGAGTGCTAATCTTTGGTCTCTAATGCTTATGACTTATGTCATACATGGTCTTTGTGTTTGATTGTAAAAAAGGTAAATTGTCTACAAAGATTATTTCACTTGTCCCACGAATAGAAAGGAGGCACGACCAAAAGCAACAACCTAGCCAATGAAGTTTAAGGAGGGAAGTATAATGACAGACAGGTGTGTACAAACTACAAAGAATACTTGTGCACAAAAAAAGGGTGTTTAATTAGGAATTTAATAAGTCTAGTGTGAATATTGAGTAATAGTGATTAATTTAATGACTATCGATATACCCTTGAGTATCATTTGACCGGTCTAGTGTGAATCTATGATGTTTGGGTGGATGTTTACCTAAACCTTGTCATTTCAACTTATTTCTTTTATCTAAATTAGTCCAACGAAAAGGACTAATTAACTCGTAATTAACTCGCAATTGTATTTAGTTTGTTTAACTTATTTAAAAATTCAACGAAAAGGAACAAACTTTTAAAATGCAAACTCAAGTGGGTAGCTGAAATGGCAAAAGAGCTTCCATGCAGCGAGAGAAACTAATCTTCGATTCCTACTCATAACAATTCCCCGTGGGTCAGCTCCCGGAGTGAACAGAAATTAATCGAGTGGACTCGGACCGGACCATAAGACGGTCTAAGAAAGACCTGGAATGATAGAATTTGGAATGAGTATGGACAACTCGATTGGGTAATAAGACACTTGGGTTGAACCACATTAAAAGATTGAATCCAATCGATTAGTTAGTTTAACTCAAGAGCTTATATACCAGATTATTTTACTCTTGGACTTCCGATGTGGGATGCACTCTAACATGGAACCTCGTGGTTCACACCAAAAAAAACTTTTGAGGTGTAACAATAAGAAAATCTCTTACCGTCCTCCAAACGTTGACTTTTGGAGTTGACCCATCTCCAACCCTCCCCTATTTCTAACATCAAAACAATTTTTCTGTTTTTCACACTCTACTTCAAATTCAGATTTACAGTTTTTCACTGTAACTTATCAAAGCTATTTGCTCCATTTTTTTTTTCATTTTTGTTGTTGTAGCATTTTGTAGTTATGTGGAGTAAAACGTATTATTTTGTTTCTGAAGTACGTGTTGGGATTTTAAACGCGTAAGATACCGAAAAATATTGAGAACACCAGAAAAATGAGAGAACAAACACAAGGAGAATATATGAGAGAAAAATTATATCTTCACTATTTCAGAACGATACACAAAAAACTCTCCCTGTTTACAAGTGCTAAATACCAGACACTTTTAAACAGACTTTTTAACACCCTACACCCGGATGTATTTTTCCGAGTAACTAAAACTAGTTACTCCCTACACTCACTCACATAATATTGGTGATATCTTGTGTAGCACCTCTCTCTTCACACCATTTCCCTCTTTTCTTCTCTCTTGGCCGTGTGTCAACCCACACACAATTATAAAGAAAAGGATTCCTCTTATAAGAGGTGAAGGCCAAAAAAAAACATCTCCATCCCATATTCCCATTATTTTCGTACACCACCAAGAACCAAGAGAAGGAGACAACTCCACTTCACATGCATGGGTCCACTTCACATGCATTGGTGTGTATGCATGCATATTCCTTTTTTTTTCTTTTTTTTTCTTTTTAATTAATCAATCCCAACAGTACGGAGTAGTATTTATAGAGAGTATTTGAATATTTATAGCTTAATGCATTTTTTTTATTTACAAACTACGAATTATAAAAAAAAAGTTTAAAAAATGAATAAATTTGATTCGAGTTTGATATATGAGCACTATGTTGGAAATAAATTACTGTATTTTGCGGTTTATACTCTATTTTAGTTTTACAAGTAGACCTTTTGTCTTTTACAAATAACTTAATTTTTAAATTATATTTTTAAACTAAACTTCATAAAATAAATAAACAAAAGAATTTGTCTATTTTTAATTATATAGACACTAGTAATTTAACCTGTGCCATGCACGGGGCCAAATAAACCTCGTGTTTTGCACGGGCTCATATAATCTCAGATAAAATACCCCATATAAACCATGAAATATATTTCATCCGAGATTATATGAGCTCGTACGAAACACAGGGTTTCTTTGGCCCCGTGTGTGCCACGGTGTTTGTTGCTATGAAGAAATACCGTAAGAAAAAGGGCAGTGAAAGAATTTCCTTCGAAGAAGAAAGACCGCAGAGAAAGACCGTAAATTTTGGAATTTCAATTTCCTTCTTTTTAGGTGAGTTTCCTTGAGAGGAGGAGGCCGTTAGTGTTGATTGTAGAACTGACACGTGGCGTGGCGATTAGGTGTCAAAAAATTAGGCTTTAAACATTACCAAATGGCAGGTTCTTAGAGTATCAACTCTCAAATTTTATATTTAAGGATATGTACACTTCTATAGAATGATCAACTCTTGTCACTGATTTTTTAATTTGTCAATTTTACAATTATCTCGTCATGATTTTGTTACAAAAAAGCATCATATATATATCCTTCAACTTTTTCTTACTTCTTTTGTCTCAATATATTTATCTAATTTGACTTTTTTGGATCAAACTGGATAAATTTTGAACAACAATTACTCTCTATTTGTATTGCGTATTAATATAATAAAATAGATTTTTAAAAACTCTCAAACAAAAATTTAATGAAATCATTATTATGCTAATATATCACTCAGTATATTCTTCATTATGCTAATGAAATCATTATTTAATTATATTTTTTATTTAATTTAGCTAGCTTGATTCGAAAAAGTAAATCTGAACGAATACATTAGAACGAACGGATTTAGTATCATTTAGGATGAGTAGCTTTTATTTTTCACATATGATACATTGTTTAACAAGATTATGCATGTGCAAGTCTTTTCGCACTTGAACTCTAGTTTATTTTGATTTTTATTAGCAATGTACTATTTGTTGTCTAACTAATGGTTTTGGATTCAAGAATAAGGACTTTTAATGTTGAAAACTCTAAAATAAAACACTTTAGCATGAGCATGAACTTTCAAATAACAACCCAACTTTAATGTCAAGAGTACAAGAAATACATATCCACATTTCTATTACAGTAATTTCCAACAAGTCCATGCATTAAGATGGACTAGGCAAACATGTAGGAGAAGTAAAATGCTTATTATAATCTCTTTCAAGGCTTAGGTTGCTTAAGCCCTTTGCCTTGCTTGTATACAATTTCTTAATATTAGATCTTTGTTCATTTAGGAGCCTCGCAATACTTCTTTTGGCATTCGACCGAAAAGGCCGGTCGGAAGCCAAGAATCCATCCACCAAATGCAAGTACGCCTCCAAGTCGTGACAACACGCTACATCTGCGTCCGGTTTCAGAAACGGTGACATTGTTGTATCGACTCTCAATTCAGTCCCGACGTGAGAGTATGCCCATGGCATGTTCTCGTCGAGTTTGTTCAGAAGCTCACTCGTCGTCTCCGATTCTCGTAACTTTTTGTCTAAAGTTTCGTTCACGAACATGCCTGGAACTTTTGTGATCACGTCTTGTTTGTTCACTATTCTCAGTACCTTGACATTTTTGGAACTTACGCGATTGGCAAAGCCTCGGTTTCCCACTCTCGGGCACCCGAAACCGAAAACCGCAACGGGAGGTGCATATGGTGTGCAAGTACTAATCTCATCGGCTACTAATAACGCTAAAGCTGCGCCTAAACTGTGGCCCGTTACCGTGATGCTTAACGGTTCGCCTTTGTACTGTTCTATTAGCCTTTGGACTTCATCCACGACTGATTGGGCTAAACTTGGGACATTTTCTCCATTAGTTTGGTACAAGTTCAAAAACCCACATTCCACTTTGGATTGGACCGGGTTCTGACCGTCTTGACCCGGAATCGGAACGAGTAAATCCCGAACATTTTCGACCCATTCGAGACACGTGGCCGTCCCGCGCAATGCGATCACAATGTCCCGTCTTCCCATCCGTTGGATCTCCCTCTTGTCGTCGCACACCGCCACGTACCCGATCCAGCTGGACCTCTGAGTCATCCAGCCGAGATCTGGCGCCACGTCATCCACCCACTTGGGCAAACCGATGGACGACGTGGCGTAGAGGCTCTTGGTCACCTTATATGACTTGTCGGGCAACGCCACTCTCCGCGGATGATGCGGGCCCTCATCCGCAGACGTGGCGGGGCTAGAGTGGAAGCAATGGTAGGCCGCTTGAATGAACTCCCCGTACCGAATAAGCTCCCGCCGGAGATTGTCGTCGAGCGGGTCAAGCAAACCCGCCCAATCATCCCCGCCGTGGTACTCCCGCCACCGGCTGGAAAGACTACTCCGCGGGGAATATTCCTGGTTCGACATCGACAAAAGCCTCTGCAGTTTTTTCAAGTTCCGGGGAGACATTTCCTCCGCGGCCGCCTTCTCCGGCCAAATCCGGTCCAATCTCAGCCCATCAAAAAGGCGGCCCCTGCCCCGGTTCGCCCCCTCCTCCTCCACCCTTAAATCGGGTTTCGGATCGGCCGGGTTTGCGCCCGTTTGCGTGTAAAGCAACTTCTCGAGGTTCGAGAGATGTTTCCTCGTCATCTCCGGAGCGTTCGCCGTCGCGGTGGCCATCGTGATCGACGGCGAGGTGGTTCGCCGGCAACGGAAGTTGCGGTGGTTGAAATTGTGAGGCGGATGGGCAGAGCCGATCTGTAGCGCCATGATGTAAAAGTTTTAGAGAGGAAGTTGACTTTGGAGAGAGAGAGAGAGAGAGCAACAAACTCAGGGGAAGAGCGAAAGAGAGAGAGAGAGAGAAAGAGAATATTTACAACCATAAAGAGGCCGATCTGAGGTTTATATAGCGGAAAGTTTTTATTTTACGGGCTTCGGGTTTGGTTTATTTTCGTCCCGACCCCATTGCAGTTTCAATTTCGAGACCTTATTCTTTTGTGGTAGTGTTATATTAATGTGATGATATACATCAACAAAAAATGTCAATGATGCAAACAATTCAAACAAGAGCCTTATATATTCATGCACTTTTCAGTGTGTGTAAAAAATCATAATGGACAATGGATATGCAATGAAGAAGTAATTTGATATTTCAATTAAGTTTTATTCATATTTAGAGAGATTTCTGACTATCTTTGTCCCAAAATGGATACCATTGTTATTATTATGACATATCAATAAGTTTGTTTTTATGTTTTCATTTATAATTTAATAAAATAAAATATTTTCGTCAGTTTTTGTACAATAAAATTTTTAGTATATTTTTGAGCGATATAATTTATACTTTTTATTTCTATTTTACTTTACAATTAATATAATTTTAAAAATAATGAAATTGTGTATCTTATTGAGAGTGTGGCATGAAGTATGTTATTATTGTTGAGTGGAATTGTTATTTGAAAATTGCACTGTCCGGAGTTGGGACCGCCCTATTGGTCACTCAAATCCCACCAATAACCAAAAAAAATAGCACTAATACAACCGTGTGACCGTGTGTCTCTAGGAAAAAAGTGTCACGGTGTTACGTTGACTTTGCAAAATTGTACACGGAATAGTGGAGAGTACCCTATATTTGGACCAGCAAAAATGAGCCACCGGCTCATGTTGTACCCTATTTTCAACCCCAGAACTTATCTCTGACATAAAATATAAGTGCAACACTGACATAATACCAATTTTGCACTTATATTTAATGTCAGGATAAAGTCTTGAGATACCAAAATGGGATGCAAGTAGAATTTTTCTTTTTTATTAGCACTCTTGAGTTTGAGTTACCAAAAAGAATAATCATTTAGTTAATCAAATTATTAAAATAATAATGCATGACATAATAAAGATATTTTATGATGTGAGTGTGACTATAATATAATACGGAGTAATATGATCCCAATGTGATATATGTAGTGTGCGGTGGACCGGTCAACATCGATGACTGGTGGCAGCATTCTGGTGATAAATGGAAGCCCAACAACAACAACAGACAATAGTCTGGTGGCAAACAAGGACATTCTAGTCTCCTACTATAGCGATGCTCCAATGACCCACGATAGCGATACTAGATGACAATATGGCTTATGTAGAGTGTTTGTTTTTTATGATACCAATGTATGTTCAACACTTATTTTCATCTTCATAAAATAGCACTCGTAATTTGGTATTTTCGTACTCTATTACTCTTATTTATAAAGTTCTCCCTTACCAAATTTTAATTTTATATATATATATATATATATATATATATATATATGGGCAAGGTTCCCATAACATTGGGAACCAATGTCTTGGGATGACCCGGGGCGCTCCGCTGCTCCGTTCGTAAAATTGACGGTTCTTACCCCCCTAACCCCTCCGATAAACCCCCCACCCAGCCCCGACCCGAACACATCCCTCACCTCCTTCAATTGCACCCCACAAGTGTGTGTGTGTGTGTGTGTGTATATATATATATATATATATACAAGGTTCCCATGACATTGTGGGGTGCAATTGAAGGGGGTGGGTTGATGTGTTCGGGTCGGGGCGGGGTGGGGGTTAGGGGGGTAGGAACCGTCAATTTTACGAACGGGGCACCAGAGCACCCTCGAATCATCCCATGACATTGGGAACCAATGTCATGGGAACCAAGGGATATATATATATATATATATATATATATATATATATATATATATATAAAATTTTTTTTATCTTTTGAGTTTTGAGTACCCGCATTTCTCTTTCCTATTCTTCACATTGAATGCACTCCCAAGTCCCAATACTATCAAATTGGAGAGTACTTAGTATTTCAATTGTTTGAATTTGTGAAAGTCAGACGTGCCCTCCAAGAATATTGAGAATTGACCACTGCATCCATTTTATCTCGACTTTTCACATTTTGACGATGAAATGGACGAATATCTAAAAGGACGTGTTTGGCAAACACCGACTTTCCGGATTAGTTGTTTGAGTTATGATACGGAAAGTAAACATACTCCCATATATCTCCTCTACATCCAAAATTATACTCCTACTCTCTTATTAAAATATTTGTCACATATCCTTTTTTCAATAATTGATCTTTCATAATATGGGGTTTCCATATTTAATTATCTATTATCAAATATTATTCTCGTAGTCCTTTTTTTGAGAGTGTCTTTCCACAAATGATTCTTTTTTTGATCTTCCGGCATGTGGGTGTTAATTTAAAGGCTAAAAGTATAATTTGACATCAATATCATGTCTAGTGATGTGTTCTGATATTGGTTAAGCGGATAACACAAAAATAATGACAATGATTGTGGGTTAGGATTCCGACGGAAGACCACATTTGTACACTATTGTTGTAGTAAAAAGCGAATGTAATTCACAAACGACGCAAACGGAATAACCTTTGGAATTGTGTATGACAAAAAAGATATATTATCATTGTGAAATTACACTTTTAGTACTCAAATTAACACCAACATTATAGAAAATCAAAAAAAGGACTATTTGTGAAAAGATACCCATAAAAGAAGGACCACTGGGGTAATATTTGATTATAGAGGACTAAATAGGGAAACCCCCCTATTATAAAGGATCAATTATAGAATTTACTCGAATTTTTATTTATTTATATGTTTTTTCATTAATTATTTGATTAAATAAAATATGCTAGGCACATCTTATTTTGAAAAACTTTCATGTGGTTTTAAAGTATGTAAATTTTATTTTTTATTTCTATACCAATATTGAAATAAAATGAACTGAAAAAACTTGATATTTTGCATCATTTTTTGAAATGTGGTAAATATTTAGGGATGAAGGGAGTAATCTTTAACCTCGATATACGAAAAATATGCATTTGTTTCGATATAAATATAATATTAATAGTTTTATTTTGAAACACAGTTTTAAAATATTATAAAATATATCTATATATAATTGTATACATACTGACATCAATGGCCAAAATAATACTATTTCTGTCTTAGGGTATTTGTCTAGTTTTAACACTATCAATGAAATAAAATTTATATTATATATTGATAAAAGAATAAATTTATTAGATTTATCTTGTAAATATTTTCAAAACATTGTTTTATCTAACTAATACTTCCTCTGTTCTAAAAACTCTTCCTGTTTTGACTTTTTTGTTCAAATAGTGACACTCTTTGACCATAAATTAAGCATAGTCTAAATAAATAAATATTATAAAAATTGTTTTGTCAAAACTACATCCTAAGATGAACTCAATTTTATTAAATTTATATAAGAATTCAATATATTTTTTTCATAGTTTATAGTCAAAGAATGTCACTGTTTGACCAAAATAAGTCAAAAAAGATGAGTTTAGTTGCATTTAAAAAGTTTAGTTGCTCGATTTAATACTTTGTTTTTGCATCATTCAAAAAGTTGTAACATCGAGCCTTTTTTTATTTACAAAAAATTGATTTACTTGTTTAGAGAATACTCCCTATTACCATGGCTGAAAAAATTACTTTGTTATTGCCTAATCGAGTTACTGATGTTACAACTTTTTTAATTCTTATATTTTTTAAAAAGAAAAAAAGAAAAAAAAAACTGAAATATACAAAATACCGCATAAACCGAATCGAATAACCTAGGGGCACACAAAAAAATCGAATTAGCATGGTATCAAACGAGAGCGTAATGATACCGATCCATTTGTAGTATTTTTAAACGGGATTGATTTTTTCCATCCCAAACCAAAACCGAACAGATATCAAACGACACAAGACCATGATGCAAATATTTAAAACCGTTCAAAGCTATTTACAGAGTATCTCAAATACTTATTTGTTTACTTCATCTTACCATATATGGAGTACGTCGTATTGTACTATTAATTTTTTAATGTTACGTTGTTTCATTATTATTGTTGTTATTATATTTGTTGCTACTATGTGAATTATTTTTTTGGAGTTATTAATAGTCCACATTGTATGAATTGGAAAAAACTATTTTTGTAAATTTTGACTCATTATCTTTTATTTTTTATATTCATGATTCGTTAAATTTGAAATCAATACATTTTTTGTTGCAAAGTTGTGCGTTGTTATATAAAACTATACTTTTATTTTAATATTCTTAGTAATGCATGTTTTATTTTTTGGAACAGTTTGAACATGAGTATAGTATTGTACCATTCCGTTTCAAAACGGAATGATATCGGGTGGTTTTAGGGTTCATCCCGTTCTGATATCGAACCCTTTGAAAAGGAGCAGTTTGTGATATGTTCTGATAGTATCAAATGGTCGTCACGGACCATGCCAACTCCTAGAATACCCAATACTTTATACTCCATTCGTCTATAAATAAACTTTCCGTTGCGCGTTACGATGTTTGACTGAAGTTATTTTCAAATCATTTTTTGTGAAAAATGGTGTAAAATTTAAAAATTACATATTAAAAAAACTACATCAAATGATCTACAAAACTAGATGTGACATGACTATATTATTTAATTTTATCAAATGAGTGACGAAAATAAGCCAACAAAGTGAATAAAGTTTGACCATGTGAATAGTGAACGGGAAGTTTATTTGTGGACGGAGGTATTATATTTTTAGTGTGAAACCAAACCAAACCGCTAACTTATCTTCCATTTTGTCTTTGATTTTAGTGAAAATTGAACCGTCTAAAACGAACAACCTCTAATTAAAACTGTTGATGAAAATTTAAATTAAAGACAAATAAATAGAGCATATGAGAGCAACGTGATATTGATTGCTCTCCCATATTGAAGGTCACATGTTTGATCCCCAGTGAGGTAATAATTTTACGCGCTTAATGGATTAAGAACGTATTAAAATTATATTATGATATACTCCGTTATTACTGTTAAAAATGGGACAAATTCAACAATGCTAGATGTACCCCAAAAATTGTATCTCAAAAGTTTATACTTGCATTTCAATGACTTACATTGATACAAAATATGAGTGCAATCCTAAAGTTTCATACTAAGAGCATTCACAATGGCGAATAAAGAAAGGAATGTCACACGCTGATGTGGCACAATTCAACCAATTAGAAACTGCACAGTCATTTTTTAAATTTTTAACCTAATTTAAAAAATAAAAAAAGAGCGTGGCAGCCTTGAGGCTACCTCACTTACCGTGGAAGAACACACAAAGAACGCGAGGCAGTTGCTGATGTGGTGCGAGGCAGATACTATGTGGCAGCGTGCCGGCTAAAATGGCACGCCGTTGCCATTGCTCTAACATTTTGTGTCAATCTAAGCCATCAATCCAACACTTGCATTGACACATAATATAAGTATAAATTTTTAGGATACAAATAGGGGGGACAAGGTACAACTAGATTGATTCTATTTCATTTTGGATGGACAATTCAAAATGATAGTTCCGCGCCAGATTAAAAAGCAATTAATAAGATTGGCGCCAATGCCCTTTTCATTTTCTTTTCAGGATTACAATATTTTTCCTCCATTGCACTAGAACATCTTCTCCGGTTACCTGATGCTGGATTCTTCTGAGACGCGTTCATTTCCTTCCGGTTCGTAACTTTCCGAAACCCTAATTTGGATTCAATTTTCCGCCGTTTCAATTTCATCTAACTCTTTTTTTTCTGTCAATGTTTATGTTCGTATCTGATTCTCGGGTGTTCATAGAGCCCCCTCACATTGGCGACTGGTTTTCGAGCTATGTTTATCGGTCTCCTTCGCCGAGTGGCATCAATGAATTGTTTTGCTACTCCGGCGAGGGAGGGGCTGAGAAAGAAGATGCGTTTGTTAAAAGCAGGGATTCCGGGAGCGAGACTTGTTTGTCTTCTGGTGAAAATGCAGTTTCTGATGGAGAAAACGAACGCGCCATTGAGGTTTTTGATCTCGTGTGATGCATTTTGTTCTCCTCTTTCACTGAGTTTATGTCCTTGAGTTGGATATTTTTTGGAGTTGCATCTAGTTTTATTAGGAACAATGAATCAGCTATGAGCCATCTTTTAGTTCGGCTAAATTGCACCGTTGGTCCTTCAAGCCAATGCGTTATGCAAGTTTAGTCCTTCAACTCTGAAAATTCAATGAATAGTTGAAGTCACAATAGTGTTGCATGGCTGGTTTTCCCGTTAACTTTGCTGCATTTTTTCCCCATTATAAATACATGTGAGGAACGTTCTTTTCTTCATAGAATTGAGCTATATTTTATGCAAGTCCAATTTTTTAATACTCCGTAATAATAAGTCATTCCTACCTTTATTAGTTTAATTCTATAAATAATACAGACTAATAAGTCATTCTTGCTTTTATTGGTCATTTTTTTTAAATACTCACTCCGTCCTAAATTGCTTGTCAAGTTTATTATTAAGAAAATGGACCTACATTAAATATGACTTAATTGTACAAAGAAGAGCTGGTTCCTCACATGTATTTAAAATGGAAAAAATGTAGGGACTAACGACAAAGTTAATAGAAGGACTAACGGTGCCACTTTAATGTGACTTGAAGGACTATGCGTAAAATATTTGGAGTTGAATGACTAACTACGCAAAATACTTTGATTTGAAGGACCAATGGTGCAATTTATCCCTTTTAGTCCAAAGTGGGATGAATGTTAGTTTTCGCTCTTATTTTGGGAGATCAGAAGATGGTAAGCTTTTTTTTAAGTGATTTGTTCATTTTCTTCATATGCAGCTTCTGAGATCATCAAAGTACTCAGCACTTTCTCCGGGTAAGCAATACTCTATTTTACAAAGATCTTTGATCAAATCCTCATTGCTATTGTTTTGTGGAAGTAATCCGTTTGAAACAAGAAATACAACATATGGAAAAAAATATGATTATTGAATAGGAATCAATCAAACACTTGTCAAATTGTTTGCTTAAATTTTAGGAGAAGTTTCATAAATATTTGCTAAATGCAGAAATATTACTTTTTTTGGTGCATCATACATTTTGGCACAATATGATAGTTCCCAACCTTGCACAAATGGTACACTGGAATACAATTATTGTTGTTGATTTATTGAGTACATGGAGCTTAAACTTTACACTTGTTGATTATTATACAATATATGTATTCATATAGCTGTTGTGTGTTTCTTGTTGGAGTATCAAACAAGTCCCACTTGTAAATTTAATAATGAATAACCTTGAATGTAAGGGCCCGTCTTACCTTAAAAATGTAATCTTTATCACTCTTGCTGATGCTTATAGAAAAATGTCTATATTCACAAGCCTAGAATGTATCTTCCTTGTTCTTCATTTCCCACATTTTTCTCTACCTTCCCCTGTTTTTGTATCTATAATGGCATTAGCTGACAGTTGTAGAAAACTTCTGTAATGAGCTAACTTTTTTCTTCACAAGTTTCAGTTCAGCCAGAGTCTTCAGATGTCAAATATGATTTCTATAGCTATGTACCTGAAACTCCAATGTCTGATGAGAATGGTGATTTCAGTGTTCCACTATCAAACAAAACCAATGACTTGAGAGAAACTGGCAACTCCCATGGCAGTTATGAAAGAGATGTAAGACTTGGAGGAACTGATGGTTTGTGTGTGAAGGGCCTTGTTAGGTGTAATACCTCTGTTGATACCCTGAACTGTTCAAACCAGGTAACTTATTCACCCCACCCCCATTGCGATTTGCTATTTAAACACGGAGAATTAGAGTGGTTCAGGTTAAAAAAGATAGTTTTTTGGGTTTTGATTGATATTTAAAGTGAGATATAATAGCTTTGCGTTGTGATTTGATATGGACAATGCCATGTGTGAGTTTACTTTCTGATTCATACTTTATTTCCAACACGTATCTGCTCATGGCAGTTATACACAACTACTTGTGATGAACCATTCTGATATCACTTATGAGGCAGTAGAAAACATGCTTAGTTTACTCTTTGTTCAATTTCCCTGTACTGACTTGAGCAATATACTCTATTTTGCTCAAATAACAGTGATTTTTCGGTTGGTTTTGCTACACAGGTTATAAGACCTTCAGATTACCTTTCACCTTCTGGTGAGAAAAATGTCCCTGACTTTTCTATGTGAAATCCTCAAATGATTGAATTATGCATTCTGCATAACTGACTTCTGTTCCCACATTGTGCTACCAGATTCTGTAGATGTTAATGTCCCTTTAGATAGCTATGTCCCCGAAACTCCAGCCTTTGATGAATTAATTCATTCTGAGGTCCAAGAATCAAAAGATAATGATGCCAATGACTATGGTGGCCAAAGGAAGCTCAATTCTAGTCTTAACAACTGCGAAACGGATGAGACGTGCATTAGAAATGGAATGAAGGAAAAAAGTGCTCTTCAGTTTTCAGAAGGCCTTGTTGAGTCCAAGACATTTAAGGGTAACAACAAAAGTTTAAGTCAGGTAAGGGAGTTTTCTTTTTTGGTCCATTGTGTTCTATTGCTCTCTATGAAACTTCAAATCAGTAATATCACTGTGCAAACAGGCACCAGAAGACTGGTTCTTCTAAACTCATTGATTTCTTTCCCTAATCTTGGAAGTTGTGTACTTTCTCTTTCAGGATTCCCCCTCCTCAGACGACATTCCACTTCTTTCAGGTGCTACTCTCATCCAAAGTCAAAACTATTTACACTGTTTGCAATGCTAACAAATGAGACATCAAATGCCCTAATGGAGCTAAAAGAGTCATTGTTGACAATTCTTAACTTTGGTTGAATAATGGATCAAATCAAATTGGCACAGTAAATTTTCTTCACTTCTTACTTTCTATGAAGTTTTGGGTAGTAAATGTACGAATTCAACCATGCACCAAGGGCCCCCAATAAATTTTGGATTTTACACAAGAAAATATCCTTATGTTGACATTTTATTTTCCTGCATTTGTTCTGCTAGCGCCCCCTGATGTCAGGAACTGGTTCTCCAGCTATGTGTATGAATCTCCAACATTGGACACAAGTGATGGATTCAGCCTTTCCAAATATGAAGAAAGTGAATCCGGTGTTGAAGAATGTCCCGAGGGTAGCCAAAAGAAACTGCAGAACTTAAGTTCTACTGAAGCTGTGTTTTCCATGGATAGAAATATAAAGAATGCCCATGACCCTTCTTCTCCAAAGGTATTCTTGTTCTTTTATCGAAATCCAACACGTGAAAGGACGTTTATTCCTTGGATATATAATGGACTTTTGAACAACATTTCCTTTTGCTTGGAAATGCAGAAGAGGCAATGCTCTGGTGGAAACAATAACTTCTCATCGCAAATGGAGCCTCAGGGAAGCACCGAGAGAGAAAAGGATGGGAATGGCTCTGCAGATAATGGCTTCATCTCAACAAGAAAGATCAGAAGTAGGAAACCGGACGATGAAAACCGGTCTTTCACGCCAAGAAAGGCAATCGATCACGAACCCATCATTGGAAAGGATGCTAAAGCAAGAAGGGTTCTTTCTGATATAACCAACAGCAGCCAGCAGAATCAACAAACTCCAGATGCACCTCAGATTGCTGGGAAATGGCGGTGTCCCCAGAAGAGTAAGCCACAGTTAGGCCCTCCTTTAAAGCAGCTTCGGCTTGAGCAATGGGTTAGAAGATTATGAGAAGTGAACTTGTTGCCTAAATCTATTTTTCTCACTTTCATCAGTACCATTTCTCCCATGCCTGTTGGAACAGAGGATAGAGCTGAATGTGTTAAGTTCATTGTGTTTTTTGTCCCTATCATACAAGGGAGAGAGAAATAGTAAAATGAACTACAAAGAAATTAATAAATTAGAATAAAATTAAAGTAAACAAAAGTGACTCTCTCCGTTCCTGTATTGGGTACAATTCTGTTAACTTCTAAACTTGGGAAGTTAAAACTTGAAAATGTGTAATGTGCATCAATGTTCGTAAATCACTATATACTACTACTAAGAAGGTGTTTGGGAGCGTGGTGAATAATGAAAAAAATATAAATGACAAGTTAGAAGCGGAATATTAATATTTTTAGTTTTGCACAAAAGTAATTATATATCTTAATCTCTACTTATAGACTACAATTTATAAACTAAAGCGGATCATCAAACATTTAAAAGTGTGTTTAGTAAAATACAAGCTATAAGTTATTTTTCAAACGCACTTCCAAACACCTTCTAAATATATGTTTTACTCGGTAGTACTCTTTTCCATGAGGCCGCAACACTTGTTTCCATGGGGAGTTTTTTTTCTTTTTTGCTTCGCATGTGTTCGAGTACTTGTATATTATTCCTTTTGTTTCAGAATAAAAGTCTCATATCAATGTGTAAAATTTAGTTTCTCTTAAAATTATTTTATTTACAAACTAGTATAGATACAAAAAGTACAACTTATATACGGAGTATTTCAAAACTAGGGTAAATTTTTTTATAAAACATGATGTTTTGCTGCACGGGTCTACATTTTCCAAATCTTGTTGAAGAATCCTTTTTCTTTATATTTGTATATACTCGGTAGTTATCTTCGTGGTTTGATTCATTACTAGTTTTGTAGACTCAAATCCAAGTTTCCAAGTGCTTAATCTTTACAACATTATGTGATTAATCTGTTTAATCCACCAAAATATTTCTTATCAAATGCTTAACTTATTAATTGTAAATTACTATGTTTCGTAACAATTTCAGCATTTAGCTTTAGTTTTTTGAAAAAAATTATATATTTTCTACGTCTAACAATAATATTTCCGTTGACCACTCACATGGTCAAATTTTGTTAACTTTGTTAGCGTATTTTTGTTTATGTCACATCTACTTTTGTAGATCTTTTCATGTAGTTTTTATATATGTAATTTTTATTTTTTAAATCTATACAATTTTTCATATAAAATGATTTGAAAATAACTTCAATCAAATATCATAATGCGCAACGGAAACATTATTGTTGGATGGAGGAAGTAATAAAAATATTTAGTTTAAGACTAAATACCACGATTGGTCCTTTAAGTTTCAAAAGTCCATAAATAGTTCTTCAAGTATTCATAACCCTCCACATGCGGTCCTTCAATTTCCAAAAGTCCATAAGTATTCATCAATCCTTGAAATGCAGTCTTTTTTACGGTATACGTTAAAAGATTAATGGATTACTACTTCCATATATATAATACGAAGTAATTATACTTGTACGTAGGTAATTGTTTTTTACGTATAGAGAATTGATGAGTTTCTACAATTCCAATCAAAGTTTTGTGTTCTTTACTATACAAATTAAACCTTTTTGAAAGTAAAATTATCCCCAGCATTTACAATGGATGGAAAAGACCCACTGTGCTGCACTGCTCAGAGGATGAGGCAAGTGCTGGGCACCCATTGCAGGTCGGAAGTAGTTGCATATGACGCTGAGGTAGAAGTTATATATATGAAGCTAGTTGCATGTGAAACCTATTACAGGTCGGAAGTTATATATATGGTACTAGTACTCCGTTTAGCTTTTAAAGTGTATTGTAAAGAGGTTTGCATTTGGAGGATTGATGAATACTTGAAAGACTACTTATGGACTTTTGAAACTTGAAGGACTGGTTTTGGAGGTTGTTGAATACTTGAAGGACTTTTTATAAATTTTGAGACTTGAATGGTCAATCATGCATAGTTTACAAAGTTGAAAGACCAATGGTGGATTTTAGCCTTTATTTTAACATTTTGAAAATTAATCTACGCTATTATGAAGTATCCAAAGTGTTAGTACTGACTGAGATATTGTTTCAAAATAAGACCAAAATTAATCTGCAATAAAAGTAATTTTTTACTAGTCCAGTTTTCATACATGGATGTAAAAAAGGGATAATAATGACTTGAGTTTAAAAAGGGATAATAGTGACTTAATAATGTTAGCTTTTTTTTATTATTTTTTAATAATACAAATTAACTGAAAATAATAAAGTTAAACACTATGTTTAAATAGTCTTTTTAGAAACTAATGGTTTGTTTAAATGAAAAAGCGAATCAAAGAAAATCTTATCTTACTATATACAATGCTAAGAGGGCATTGTGAACAGTGTTCCCGCCCATTTTAGAGCTACAGTAAAGAACCGGATGAGGTGGGTGTTTTTGGGCCGAAAATTAGACCAGTTTTGGCAGCTATTTTTAGGGTCTAATCCACTAGGTGTGAGGCTCTATAAAGTAAACAAATGAGGCTTTATTGAGCCAAGTGATACATCAACTTTACATCACACTTTACATCAAATCAAGTAATTAAATAGATTTGCACAATCTAAGCATTTAATGTGCTTTCAATTAGTTGATTCCCAAAGATATTCACAAAATCTACACCAAATATTTTATGGAGCCGCATGCTAGAAGTCCAATCAACATTTATTGCACCTAGATCCGTCCATATAAACAGTGTAATGGACAGCAATAAATGTGTTGTCCCTATTACAGAATACACACTATAAATAGATTGTAATATTTCAAATTAAATTTTCAAATTCAAATGGAGAGCAACTGAAATTTAGGAAGTTACCTTCCTCGAGCTTCAAGGTTGGAAAATTCTTCTTCTTCCGTGCATTATTTTTGTTCTTCCTTTTAGTGATAAATTTTTATGCTTTTGTCTACAATATTGTTTTCAATATTTTGCAAACTACACAAGGATTGAACATAAAAAGGTTTTTTAAATAAAATGGAAAGAAAAAAAGAGCATGATGANTGAAGAACTACATTTTAACACTGAATGCAAGACATATATACAAATTCAATTCGGTTAGCTACTGAACAGTACGTGGGAAATTAATTTTCAATTTCTAATAATTTATAAGAGAATACAGTGATAAAAAAATTATTAGCACTACAAAAAACCATTTATGACTTATTGACATTAGAGATCTAAATCTTGATATGCAAACTTAGTTTTGAAATAATAACATAAGGAGTATTTAAGAAGCTAAAAACAGAAAATGCATGTCAAGCTACAGACTAAAATAAGGGTTAAAGTCAAATAAAAAACATATAGATGAACTTTTAGAGGATTTTTAAGTAAAATTATCCAAAAATCTGAAATCCAGATTTAAGAACATATGTGCGAGCAGAGATTTTAATTTACACTCCCATTTATTTGGTCAGAACAATAGATGTTAAACAAGGACTTTTAAATGCAAATTGATACGAATAAAAATTGGAAAACAAGAAAATTTAAACATTGATGCTGAAAAAAATTAGGAGTTTATCGAAATATATGTTAATATGATGTTAAGGAATTATTGGATTTTATGTATTAAACAAGACATCTTATCATTTACAAGTAATAAATGAAAATTAAAATTTTTCCTTCAATAAAACATCAACATTTAGGCTCGAAAATTAAATCAGCAATTTTTAGAAATTAATGTTATTATGATCAAATGAAAAAATTTGGGGATGAATGAACATCATTTAGAACAACGCATTAAGGAAAAAATTCATAAATTTTTAAAACCGGTTTGCCGTATTTTTAAAAGATTATTTACACTTATAAATCAAATACTTATTATTTATCAATTACAAAAATTCACATGCATGGTTGTTTTAAACAGATCTAAAATTGAATAACTCTGCATTTTTAAAAAATGCCTTCCAAATTTTGAAATCTGTTAGAAATAAACGGATCTAACAAAAATTCATACCTTAATGAATGAGAGTGTGAACTGAGGAAAAATTTGATCTTAAGTAATAATGAAATAAAGATACCAGTGAAGTCCGCGATGATTACCCGGCGATGAGATCCTCCACCTCACGGAACACTCTCTCGCTCTTCTCTCTCTCTCTCACGAGTATATCTCTCTCTCTCTACGTCTAACATCTGGAAGTACTCTCTCTCTCTCTCTGTGTAAAGGGTCTCTCTCCCTCCCTCTTTGTCTATCTCTCTCTCTATCTACTTCCATCGTCGGCGTTCTCCAAGAGACGAAAAAGGAAGATCTAGAGAGATCGAACAGAAGCGGCGTGTTTGTGTGGCCAAAAGATGGCCACGGTTAGGGTAGGTTTATTTATGTTTAAATGTTGGGATATGCTGGGCTATACCAAATGTGTACCCAAATGCACACCCCTCACCTTTCTACCATTCATTTTATTTTATTTTTATTTTTTATTTTTTTATTTTTGAATTTTTCTTGCTTTTTTTTGTGGTGATGGAGGGAGTGGGGATGTTTGGGGTACACTTTTGGTGTACCCCTAGCATTTTCTCTTAAATGTTTAATCGGTATTCTGCTGAAGAAATAAAAGCTGTGTGCGTTGGGCCTCCATTGTAATAAATGTTGGGTTCTCCTGGTCATAGGTGTGGGCTTTTAAATTTGGAATGAGACAAAATATTTAAAAATAATGGTCTATGATTTTTATACAAAACAAAATTTGTTTTTACAAAAATAACCTTTCTAAACCAATTAAATGATTCGGATTGTAAATTGTTTTTATAAATTAAAATTTATTTTTAAGTTAGTTTATGTATTTCATAATTAAAAAAGGAATTGGCAGTTGGTTGACCCCATGTTACAAGTGCAAGACTATTCAAGACTCAGATTTTATGGAAGACTGTTGGAAATGCTTTGTTGCACATGGTCATCTTACATGTTTACAAATTGGTGGTGTGGGATGGGGATTATTTTTCGTTTGCGATCATTGTGCGATTCCGACACCACCTATACCCACACCACTTTTACTACGACGATCTGAACGAGTTAAAATTCCAAACAAAAAGTATTTCAATGATCTTTATGTCCTTTATTAAAATTATCAATTTCTTCTTAAGATATTTAATGTTACCGCTTTTGAAATGTATGATTCTCTAATGTTGGAAGAAATTAAAA